TGGGAGGCTGAGGCAGGAGACTCGCTTGAGCCCAGGAGTTGGAGGTTGCTGTGAGCTGTGATGCCACAGCACTCTACCCAGGGGGATAGCTTGAGGCTCAGTCTCAGGAAAAAAAAAAATAATAATGTTTTGGCTCAGTGCCTGTAGCACAGTGGTTATAGCACAAACCACATACACCGAGGGTGGTGTCTTCAAACCTGGCCTGGGCGAGCTGAACAACAATGATAACTGCAACAAAAAATGGCCAGGCTTTGTGGTGGGCACCTGTAGTCCTAGGTACTTGGGAGGCTGAGGCAAGAGAATCGCTTCAGCCCAGGAGTTTGAAACACTTATGGAACACTTCACGAATTTGCACGTCATCCTTGCTCAGGGGCCATGCTAATCTTCTCTTTATTGCTCCAAATTTAGTACACATGCTGCCAAAGCAAGCACATCAAGGTTGCTGGAGCTGTGACACCAGGCACTCTGCCAAGGGCGACATAGACTTTTTTTTTACTTTGTCTCAAAAAAAAAAAAAAAGACAAGAAAAGAAAGAAAGAAAGAAGAAAAGAAAAGAAATAATGTGTCAATTTTTAAAAAGTCAATTGTATTTCTATATGCTAGTAATACACCATTGTAAATTCAAATCTTTTGGGGTTGTTTGGGATAGAGTCTCTATTACCCAAGCTAGTCCAGTGCCATTGTCATGACTCACTGAAACCTCAAACTCCTAGGCTCAAGCAATCCTCCTGCTTCAGCCTCCCAAATTTAAAAACATGAAATAGGTAGAAATAAATTTAACAAAATATGTTCAAGACCTGCATGCAGGAAGCTAGCTAACATGATGAAAGAAATTAACAAAAGGCTTAATAAATGGAGAGAAATGCTATGCTAATGGATCAGAAGACTCAATATTAAGATGACTTTCTCCACAAATTGTTCTACAGAGTCGACTCAGTCCTCATCAAGATTTCAGCAAGCATTTTATGTAGAAATTGACAAGTTAATTCTAAAATGTATATAGAAGTAGAAAGCACCTAGAATACTAAAATAATTTTGAAAAAAGAAAAGGATAAAGTTGGCGAGGACTCATACTACTGATCTCAGGACTTGCTTAATTGCAATTGAGCAATTAAGACAACATGGTGTTGGCATAAAAATGAACACCTAGATGCACAGAACAAAGCAGAGTCCAGAAGTAGAAGTGTGCACATATGGTCAACTGATTTTGAACAAAGTACCAAGGCAATTCAATGGGGGAACAGTTACTGTGTGCAAAAACTGGTGCTGGAACAACTAAATGAATCTTGACCCCTCCCCATGCCATGATCTCAAAATGCATCAGGGATATAAAATGTAAGGAACAAAACCATAAAGCTTCTAGAAGAAAACAAGAGAAACCCTTTGTGACCTTGCATGAAGCAAAGAGTTCTCTGGCAGGAAACAAAAACATGAACCAACCAGCACGTTGTATCCCATGATTGCATTCACGTATGTAGCTATGATTTAATAAAAAAAAAAAAAAAAAGAACCATAAAAGAAAATGTTGATGTGCTCGCTTTGGCAGCATATGTACTAATTTGGAGCAATACAGAGAAGATTAGCATGGCCCCTGAGCAAGGATGACTCACAAATTCATGAAGTGTCCCATAAAAAAAAGAAAATGGGGCGGCGCCTGTGGCTCAAAGGAGTAAGACGCTGGCCCCATATGCCAGACATGGCAGGTTCAAACCCAGCCCTGGCCAAAAAAAAAAAAAAAAAGAAAATGTTGATAAATGGACTTTATTAAGATTAAAAACATTTGTTCAGGCTTGGCGCCTGTGGCTCAAGTGGCTAAGGCGCCAACCATGTACACCTAAGGTGGCGGGTTCGAATCCAGCCCGGCCCGCCAAAAACAACAATGACGGCTGCAACCAAAAAATAGCCGGGCGTTGTGGCAGGCGCCTGTGGTCCCAGCTACTTGGGAGGCTGAGGTAGGAGACTCGCTTGAGCCCAGAAGTTGGAGGTTGCTGTGAGCTGTGATGCCATAGCACTCATGGCCAGGCTTTGTGGTGGGCACCTGTGGTCCCAGCTACTTGGGAGGCTGAGGCAGGAGACTCGCTTGAGCCCAGAAGTTGGAGGTTGCTGTGAGCTGTGATGCCATAGCACTCTACCCAGGGGGATAGCTTGAGGCTCTGTCTCAAAAAAAACCCTAAAAAACAAACATTTGTTCATTCATCAAAAGACACCATTAAATATACAAGTTGGAAGAAAATGTTTGCAAAATACTTATTTGACAAAGGACTTGTAACCAGAATACATAAAAGTTCTAAGAATTCAATTTTAAAAAGGACAAAGGCCAGGCATAGTGGCTCATGCCTGTAACTCTAGCACTCTTGCGGAGGCTGAGGTGGGAGGATTGCTTGAGCTCAGGAGTTTGAAACCAGGCTGAGCAAGGGTGAGATCCCTTCTCTACTAAAAGTATAAAAAATTAATTGGATAGGCATTGTGACAGGTGCCTGTAGTCCCAGCTATTCGGGAGGCTGTGGCAGGAGGATCACTTGAACCCAGGAATCTGAGATTGCTGTGAGCTCAGCTGACACCATGTCACTCTTTGTTGTCAGTCACAACAAAGTGAGACTCTGTCATTCATAAATAACAAAAAGTGCAAAGATTTAAACACACACATTCGCCAAAGAAGACATATGAATAGCAAATTAGCAAATAAGATTCTTTTTTTAAATAAGATTCTTGACATCATAGTGATAAGAGACATTAACATTAAAGCTACAATGAGATAACACTACACACCCCCTAGGATGGCTAAAAATAAAAAAGAAAATAAAATCACAACTGAGAACACCAAATGTGAGTGAGGATCCAGAGCAAACTGGAACATTTATACACTGCTGATGGGAATGCAAAATGGTACAGCCACGCCACTCTGGAAAACAGTTTGACCTTTTTTTGTTGTTACAAAAGCACACACGCCCCCCTCCATGACTCAGTAATCGCATTCCGAGATATTACCTAAGAGAAACGAAAACTTATGCCACACAGATACCTGTATACGAATGTTCTAGCGGCTCTGTTTCATAAGAGCCGAGAACTGGTGAATGGATAACGAATTGGGGTACATCCATATAATGGAACCCAACCAGCAATAAAAAGAAACCACTGATATACACATCAACATGGGTCAATCTCGAAAACTTAAAGCTGAGTGAAAGAAGCCAGTCATGAGCTACAACCTGCAGGATTTCAGGGGTAGCTGTAGGCACAGAAATTGAGTCTGCGGTTGCCAGGGGTTCGGGGTGGAACACAGGGAAACTTTTGAGGGTGGTGGAAACATCCTATATCATGATTACCCGGTGGTTACACTATTACATACATTTGTGGAAAAACTGTACAGTGTAAAAAGGCGAATTTTATCCTATGTAAATTACACCACAATAAATAAACCGATTTTTTAAAATGCCTCAGTGTGCTATTGACATTGAACTGCATCCTCCCAACTCCATTTCTCAACAGGGAGCTCCCGGACCCCCTCAGTCCCTCCTGCCGGAGCCGCGGGGCTTCCACCCAGGAGCGCAGGAAGCTGCGCAGCGCAGGGAGGGGCCCGCACGCCGGCCCACCGGTCACCCTGCGCGGGGAGGGCCGGCGGCGGGCGAGGGTGGGCTGGTGACCGCTAAGCACCGCGGTCCTTTACCCTCTCCCGTTCCTGACCTTGGCAGCACCTGTTAGGGTGACACCGTCATCACCAGGCTTTAACCCCCACTAGGCCTCCGGTGGTGCCCAACCCTCTTTGGGGGATACTGGGGAGCCGAGAGGGAACTGTCGTTAAACTGCTAAGTCTCAGGCCATGTCCGCTTTGTATAAAACATTTATTTCAAAAATAATAAAATATTTAATTCGATCCTCACAACCGCCATCAGACCTCATTTTACAGAGGCAGAAATTGAGGCTCAGGGGAGTTAAATAATCCATTCAGGAAAGAGCCAAGTTGAAGTTTGACCCCGAGTGAGCGTGACGCGAAGATGGGGACCATCCCAGCCCGCCGCCCGCCGCCCGCCGCCTCGGAGAGTTCGGGCTCTCCTTTCCCCGCGCATCTTCGGGTCTTATTCCTTTGCTTGGGTGCTCACCCAGACCGGGAGCTCCCCGCCCCACGGCAAAGTCCGGCGGCGACCTCCGCGGTCTGCCTGAAGGAACCCGGGCCCAGAGCAGCCAGCGCTGGGCAGCCAGCCCCGGAGTCCCGGGCTCCGGTTCGGGAGTCCGCGCCTGGGAACGGCGCCCCCTGCTGGAAATCTGCCTCCACTATGCGGCCGCGGCCCCAAGGTGGCAAATTTCAGAGCTCCTACAACACGGGAAAGGCTGTTGGCAAGAACCTGCCCTGCTGCAGGGAGGGGCCAGGGTCCTCTGCTCTGCCAGACTATGAGGAGGCCATGACACAGCCCACTGGGCAGCGAGGAGGTCTTGGCCGACCCCTGGCACTAAGCGCCGGCTCACACGGGCGCCAGTGCTTTGGGCATCTGGGCTTGTTTGGACGCGGGCGCCTCGGGCAGAGTCCGTTACACAAGTCAGGATCAGCGTGTGGACCCTGCATGGACTTGACGTGGAATCGACTGTCCTAGGACGGGAGTTTGTGGGCATGAAGCGGCGCCCGGTGCACACTCAGGCACCTGGCGCTTGGTACGCGAGGTGGAACGCAGTGACCCCTGCAGACTGGGCGGGAGCGACATGCGGAGCAAGAACGGAGGCAGGAGGCATTTTTACAAGTTTCTCTGCCATGCAAGCCGCCCCCATTGTGTGGTCGTGCACAGGGTCCTCATGTTTCCTGCCTGAGTCTCCAAAAGCTCAGCTCTGCTTTTCCAGGCTGTGGCCGCAGCCCTTCACAAACAGCCCATGACGCCCCACTTCTACTCCATTACCTCATCCTCCACCTCTCTTCCACCTACGCCCCCCAGAGCTTCCCCACTGCTTGTCTTTTGTGTCTTCCCAGTTTCTCCCCACCTGCAGGGACCATCCTCCTACCTGCGCTTTGATGTCCAGCTGAAGTGACACCTCCTCCAGGCAGGCTTCCCTGGCCACTCTAGCTCGTGCAAATTTCTCTGTCCTCTGCAACATTTCCCACGTGCATCTGATCCCTATCCCCACACTGGGGCTGCCTTGTTAGAGTTTCACCCTGTTCCTCTAGGAAGGCCTTGAACCTCCAAAGCCTGGCATGGTGCTGTGCCTTAGTAGGAGCCATCTGTTTACAAGGAACACAGCTGTTCTAGACAATTTAAGGAAACTTAAGGAAGAAGGAGCTTGCTAGGAGGCCTATCCCTCATGATGTGCCACTAATCATCAGGAGGCAGGGGCCACCTCCAGTGCTCCCTGGGACCCTCCAGGTCTCCATGGTTTCCTGCCTCAGCCTCTCTCTACACATCTGCATCTTCCTTCTCAGCTTCCTTTACTTTAGGCCCAAATATGAATGCCCAGGCCTTGGCTTCATACTCTGAGTCCACTGCCTGCAGCAGATGAAGGCTTAAGTCCCTATGCCAGGGGGCTGGGGAAAATCTGATTGATCCCCTAAGTCAGGTGACTTGCCTGTGCAATCAGCAGAGGCCAGAGAGGTGGGATCACATGCCCCATTTAGGAGTGCAGACTTTGAAGAGGAGTGTGGACAAGTCCTCCGAGCAAGGGGTAAGGCAGGGAAGGAATGGGGGCATCTCTGAGAAAGCCAAGTCCAGGGGAGAAGACGCATAATGCTGACAAATTGCAGGACACAGGGAGAGGCTCCAAGACAGACATAAGAAATAAAGATTTCTGCCCTTCTTTCCAGCCAGGAACTAACTGCAGCCTTTCCAGAATCCTGTTCCATGTTCTCCCTTGTTCACAAAATTGGTCAACTAGAGCCGAGAGGACCTGGGTTCTAATCTAGGTCTGCTAACTACCCACTCAGTGAATTGGGGTGAGTAATGCAAGAGTGAACAGTCTGTGTGCGTGCAAATGGGAGATATATGAGCAACTGGAGGTGAGGGTCTACCCAGTGCCCATCACCCATGTGGTAAGGACCCCAAGAGGCTCATCTTTTCATGTTTTTATAATCAGAAATCAAGATGGCATGTCATTTTAACAGTATCTTTTTTCTTTTATAGTGGCACATAAAATAGGTGATCTTATAAGTAATGTTATTCTAGATTTGATGAAATATTAAATCATTACTTGTCGTGCTAATCTTAGACAAATATATCTCTGGGTAAAAATGTCCCTGTCTGCTAGCTGGGCATTGTGGTGGGCGCCTGTAGTCCCAGCTACTTGGGAAGCTGGGGCAAGAGAATCTCCTAAGCCCAAGAACTGGAGGTTGCTGTGAGCTGTGATGTCACAGCACTCTACCAAGGACAACAAAGTGAGACTCTTGTCTCTAAAGAAAAAAAAACTGTCCCTGTCTGCAATACAGGGACAACATCCTTACCTCGGCCAGCCACTATGAGGCTAAACTGAGACTACATCATGGACAGTTTTGAGGGTGGCCAGCCCTCTCCTCCCTCCCTTCTGGACCGCATCCTTGGTGGGCAAACTGAGCTGTCCTGAACTGGGACCAGGAGTTTGAGTGCCACTTGTTTGTTTATCTATGGAGAGGGAGGCCTCAGTGCTGAAGGCTAAGCAAATATTTGTGGTTATGGATTAACCCGAGTTCCAGGCTGTCATGGCGGCAAGAGGGCGAACTTGCAGTCTCTCCATGACCCACCCCTGTGAGTTGCCTCAAGGCAGGGCTGTGAGGGGGTGCTGGGGTGAGAAGAGTGCAGAAGGAATAAGAGGACTGAATCAAATCTTCAAACTTGGATTCTTGAGATGGGCTGGAGTTTGGGATAAAGTAAAATGGGACCCAGTCCTTGGCCGAGCCAAGGCACTGGTTGGCATCCCCAGGCCTAGGAGCCACAGTCTCAGAGGGTCCTTCTTACCACTCACCTCCTTTTTCCAGACTGTGGGTCAAATGGAAGTCAGCAGAGGTCTCCAGGACCATGGCCATCCCCAGAGGCAGTTTGGAGCATGGGGCCCTCCATTCTCCTTACTCCATTCTTTTCTCTATATCTGGGCATCAGAGTTAAACAAATGTCAGAACCAGTCTTAGAGGGAGTGAGCACAGGTGGAAAAGCAGGCCAACCAAGGGTGCCGGATGCAGCAGGCAGGCCTACCACTTGGTCTTGGAGTAGTCTCCAGCTGGTAGAGCTACCTCTGTGGCCTCCTGGGGCACATTGTGGTTGGGGGTATGGGTTAAGACTAAGGTGACCCTGCTTTTGGTGGGACAGTCCTGATTTTTAACAATTTCTCCCGCGGTGTTTTTAAAAAGTCCCGATTTTTGGAAAGAATGCATGGCAAGCTAGGGAACAGTGGGAGAATGGGAAGGGAATATATGGTTTTCGGCTGCCATGTGGCTATTTCGCCAGGCTATGCATTTTATATTATTTTTGTTAATTTTATAATGTTAAACTTTAATAATAACAAATAATTGTTGAGAACTGATTATGGAGAACTGCTTATCAAAGTTTGCATTGTTGTCAGGCCCTGCCCCCAGGCCCCACCCCCTCCCTCAGTGGTGTCCCGCTTTACCAATGTTAAAATCTGGTCACCTTAGTTAAGACCCAAGCCTTGAGCCTCAAGACTAGGTCTGGGCTTTTGAGTCCTAGCTGTGCCACCTCCTGTTTATGGATTTTTAATAAGCTACTCAACCCCTGTGGCCCTCAGTTTCCCCCTCTATGAAATGGGAGTGACAACATTAATACCTACCTCTTGGGTGGTTGTGAGCCTTAACTGAGATAACAACAGCTAATGTTGGCTCTGCGCCTGTGGCTCAAGCGGCTAAGGCGCCAGCCACATACACCTAAGGTGGCGGGTTCAAATCCCCAGCCCGGCCCGCCAAACAACAATGATGGCTGCAACCAAAAAATGGCCAGGCGTTGTAGCGGGCGCCTGTGGTCCCAGCTACTTGGGAGGCTGAGGCAGGAGACTCGCTTGAGCCCAGGAGTTGGAGGTTGCTGTGAGCATGATGCCATGGCACTCTGCCCAGGGGGATAGCTTGAGGCTCCGTCTCTAAAAAAAAAAAAACAACAGCTAATGTTTACCAAGCATTTGCTATGTGCAAACTTTGTTTTAAGAGCTGTATATGAATTAACTCATTTCTCACAATACCCTTAATGGCAGAAACACAATTATTCTGTCTCTTTTACAAAGGAGGAAACTGAGGCATGAAGCAATTAATTGTTGTGTCCAACACTGCCATCCAGTATGTGCTGAAGCTGGAATTTGCACCAGGAGGTCTGGCTGCATGCCTTCCCTTCTGAATCATTTATAAATTGCTTGAAAGACATCCTAAGTGTCTAATCAATGTTAGCTATTCTCAGTCCAGCTATCAGAACAACAAAAGCAGTCACCCCTCCATCCCTGAACCATCATCAAAGAGTGAAGCAAGGGAGGGCATGAACATTCCAGTGTACGCTCCACCACACTTCTGAGCTGGGTCCCCTTTGATCTTCACAAGGACCTGGTGTGCCTCCCACTTCTGGGGCTGGTGGTCTGACCTTAGCCCCATTAAGAAAAGACAACCGAAGCTCTGGCTGTCTATCTAGTGAAAAAGTTTCCCAAGCCAGCTGTCACCTTGGCAGCCAGCATCTAGGACCACCCTTTCATCTTCCACCTGGCGTGCAGGCAAGGCAGCAGCTGGGGGGCTGCAGGAGCTTAGAAGTCCTCCTCAAACAGGTGCCAACAATTGCAGAATGTGGCAGCTCACAAGCTTCCTGCTGTTTGTGGCCACCTTGGGAATTTCCAGCACACCAGCCCTGCTCGGTAAGGCCCCAGCCCCATCCTGGACCTTCCCAGCTTCCATGAGGCCCTGGCTGGCCAGTGTCCAGGCCTTCACAGCTTTTACCAGCTTCTCTGCATGGGTGAGATGTGGGACAGGCGAGAACAGCATGAATTGCTGACGAGTCTCAAGCAGGCTAGAGACGTAACACAGGGGCTATGAGGGCAGACATGGGTGATGGCGGGGAGCCCTGCGCTTGCCCCCTCAGCAAAGTGCCTGTGTTTTCCCACTCCACCTTTCCACTCTACCACCCACACTGCCAGCACAGCCTTGCCTCCTAACATACACATAGGCTACACCACTGTTCTGCCCCAACCCCTTCCCTGGTCCCCACAGCCAATAGGAGGCAGCCATAATTCTTGAGAGGCTACAGGACACGTAACCTCACGATCTGCTTAGAGCCACACCAGGCTGCTGGTGGCTTTGGTGTCTCTTCTTGAGCTGCTTTTCCACCTGGTCTCCCTTCCTTACCCCAGGTCTACTTGAGCTCTAATGTCCAGACTCAGCCCAGACACCCCTTCCTCTAGGGTGGCTTCCCCCCAAGCTCTTGTGCTCACTTTTTGCCTGGATCCCTGTCTCCGGCCTGTCCCTTGCACCTAAGACAGACATCATGCAGAGCCCAGGAAACACTTAGTGACACTCACCAGGTATCAGGTCTGTCTGTCCTCCAGGTGTCCTTGCCCATGAGGGATGGTGGCAGTGAGATGGGGCTGCACAGCAGGTACTGGGAGAACAATGAGACACCTGCCTTTGCAGCAGCTGTAGCAGCCGCAGCTGGCTTTGTCACTCAGGGCTTATTTCTGGGCCAGGCACTGACTGTATTGTTTTACGTGATGATCTCCTCCCATTTTCTGGATGAGTAAGTTGAGGTTTACAGCGGTAAAGACACTCGCTTAAGGTTAGGTTGGAGTTCACAGGGACATTCTGTCTTCCATCTGTCATCTCCTTCCCATGGAGGAAGAGAGCAGAAGAGCAGCATAACCTAGAATTGGCCTAAGTCTAGAGGGGGCCTGAGAGGAGACCTTTCCAGGTTCTTCCAGCTTGGCTTCCTCAGACCCCTCCTGACCCCCAACCCCTCTCAGGCCCCTCCACTGAAGTGAGCTCCCCTCCCCCCAAACCAGACTCAGTGTTCACCAGCAGTGAGCATGCCCACCAGGTGCTTCGGCTCCACAAACGTGCCAACACTTTCCTGGAGGAACTCCGGCCCAGCAGCCTAGAGCGGGAGTGCACGGAGGAGATCTGTGACTTCGAGGAGGCCAAGGAGATCTTCCAAAATGTGGATGACACAGTAAGGTCACCTGGATGGCTGGGTGCAGAGGATGAGGTTCAGGGGCAGTCTGGTGGCCGGCTAGAGCTTAGAGGAGCAGGGGAGATTGAGCGCTGAGGTCCTCTGGGGAGTTGCGGTGCCAGCTCCCCCTTCTCCTCCCAGCTTATTGGGGGTGGCTGAGTTGAGTGAATAGGACACTGGCCCTATGTGTTTGTTGGGCACATGTGACTGTAAGAAACAGAACTCTGCAATGAGCTCCAGGAAAAAGAGAGTGCAGGGCAGCCCTGGCTTAGGATCCTACTCAGCCCCATTGAGGTAGTTTGGTCTACCCCCACTGCCACCTCTGCTCTCTGTCTCACAGAGAAGGGACCAAAAGGCTACCACCCCGCTTCTATTCCTGTACCTGCAGATCAGCACGCGTGACCTACACTCTTGGATGTCTGTCCACATACCCCCACTCACACTGTGCCTCGGGTCCAGTTCTTAAGGGAGAAAACCTGATTGCTCAGGGGATCTGCTGCAGAAAGGGTCTGGGTCTTTCAGGCCTAAGGGTCAGAACCTGGAGTTCCCCAGGTTCTGTGGAGGCGGCCCTGGGGTGGCAGAGTGGGCTTGGTAAGGGATGTGGGTTTCTGATACAAAGCTCTGGCCCGGTTTGTCCCTAGGGGCTCACTTCAGCTGCTAGGGTCCCCGCCGAAGTCTGTAGGGCGCCTCCCCCGAAAGGCTTTCAAGGCAAAAGGAGGTGCTGGCCCCTCTTTTGCCCTCAGCCTTCACCTACTGGATCCTCACTGCCTCTTTTCCCAAATGGCCTCCTCAGAAGATATCGCATGATTTTCTGAAGGCACAATATGGTTGCAGGCGTCTCTGCCATGGCTTCCTGAGGTTACTTACTCCTGGTTTCTGGCCCGAGTCTGGGGCCTGCTGACCGTGCAGGCATCAAGCATCACGAGTCTCAGTGTGCTCAGCGCCTGGGCCCGGTTAGGAGGCATTCTTCTGCTGCCCAGTCTTTCTGAAGCTGCAGATTGCCTCGCACCAGGTCCCAGACATAGCTCAGGACGCTTAAGAGGTCCTCAAATGCCCTCAGGCAGAGCGGGTGATAGCGGCGGGGAGGAATCATGGATTTAGAGCCCTTGCCTTGCAGAGGCAGCGTGGAGCAGACAGACCAGTACGCAGAGCTGCAGCTGCGTGTGGAGAGTGTATTACTCGTGGCATGTGGGTGGGGTGCGGTGGGGATGGGGCGGGGGGGCAAGGAACACTGGTTCCCAGCTGCCTGCGACCGTCAGGAGTTGATCCCTTTCTGTCTGGAAGCCCCTCCCCGCTTCACCTGCCAGGGCACAGGCTGCCCGCCCCACCTGGGACACACCCAGGCGGCGACCCACATATACCGGCCGACGGCCCTGACGTTGCCCGCTCTTTCCACAGCTGGCCTTCTGGTCCAAGTACGTCGGTGAGTGCGTCCTAGACGCCTGGCTGGGCTGCCATTGCCCGCTGGGGCTATCTGGGCCTCTGCGAGTCGGGGAGGGAGCTGGCGTCTGAGTGACTCCACACGCCCACTCCTCCTTTTGTCCCAGACGGTGACCAGTGCGCAGCCAGGCCCTCGGAGCACCTGTGCGCCAGCCCGTGTTGCGGCCATGGCAAGTGTACGGACGGCATCGGTGGTTTCAGCTGTAACTGCAGCCGGGGCTGGGAGGGCCGCTTCTGCCAGCACGGTGAGGGGCGGCGGGCGCGGGGTGGGCCGGGGCAGGGCAGGGACAGGGGCCGGGGCGTAGCGCCACCGCCCGCTCTCGGCTGTCTCGCCCTGCCCTCCAGAGGTAAGCTTCTCCAACTGCTCCGTGGACAACGGCGGCTGCGCGCACTACTGCCGGGAGTACGCGGACGGGCGCCACTGCAGCTGCGCCTGGGGCTACGCGCTGGGAGACGACCACCGGCACTGCCAGCCCAAGGGTGAGCGCCGGCCGGGGCGGTCCGCGGGAGTGAACGGTCAGCAGGTGCCGCTTTTGGTGCGCCGCCCCGGAGAGGAGCGTGCCCTCGCCGTTTCCGCCTTTCTCTGCCCGCCCGCCTCCTGGTGCCCCTGCTGAGCGCGGGGACCCTCCCGCAGCCAGGCCGGCGGCGACCACGGGCTGTCTCGGCTGCGTTTATTTCCCTGTGACACATTCTCTGGCCCCGTTTCCCTCTTCACCCACTGTTGCTCTGAGAGCTCCGATTCTGCTTTTATATTTCTGGTTTTATGCGTTTTTCTTTTTACCTAATTTATACATGTACAAAGTTGTAAAAGGCAGAGTTTTGCGACTCTCACATGTCAGCATGCAGTTCCTTTCCGTGGGTCTTGCTGCAGTGTTCTTGGTGGACCTTTTAATGTAGAAATTCGTATCTTTTGCTTCTAGCAATAATTTTTAGCTATTTCTTTGACAATCTCATCTCTGCTTTCTCTGTTCTATTTCTGGAACTTTCATTATTCAGATCTCTTTCCTCTAGTTTTATTATCTTTAAAAACAATTTATTGAGGTAAAATATATAATTTATGATCTTTACCATTTTTAGGTGTACAGATCAGTGGTAATACATTCACACACACATATACATATTACTATTCATATTACATGTGTATATATGTGTGTGTTTTGTTTTGCCATTCCTCCTCCCTGATTTCTGGCAACCACCAATCTCATCTCCATTTTCATGGGAGCCAGTGTTTTTGTGTTTTTTTTTTTTTTTTACCCCTATGAGCCACAGGCACCGCCCGGGGTCAGTTGTTTTTAGCTCCCACACGTGAGTGGGAATATGCATTATTTGTCTTTCTTATTTATTTGTGCTTGCTTATTTAACTTAATACAATGGCCTCTAGTTCCATCCATGTTGCTGCAAATAAGGGGATTTTTACAGTTGAATATTATTTGTGTATATATACCACATTTTATTAATGCATACATCAATTGATGGGCACTTAGGTTGATTCCATATTTGGGCTATTGTGAAGAGTGCTACAGTAAACGTGGGGATGTAGATATCTCTTTGATATATTAATTCCCTTTCTTTTGACTATATACCCAGTAGTGGAATTGTTGGATCATATGGAAGTTCTAGGTTTAGTTTTTTGAGGAACCTCCGTACTGTTCTCCATAGTGGTTGCACTAATTTACATTTTCACCAACAGTGTGCAAGGGTTGCCTTTTCTCTGCATCTTCACCAGCATCTCTTATTGCCGACTTTTTTTTTTTCCTTATTCCGTGGTGTTTTTATTTTTTATTTATTTTTCTTTTTTTTTATTGTACTTTTTTGATATAGGCCATTTTTTAACCATGGTGAGATGACATGGCTTTGGTTTTGCATTTCTCTGATGATTAGTGATGTTGAGCATTTTTTAATATACCTGTTGGCCATTTGTATGTCTTCTTTTGAGAAATGTCTATTTAGATTATTTGCCCATTTTTACATTGACTTTTTTTTTGCTATTGTTTGAGCTCCTTATGTATTCTAGTTATTTACCCCTTGTCAGATGAATAGTGTGCGAATATTTTTTCACATTCTGTGTGTTGTTTCTTAACTTTGTTGATTGTTTTATTGCTGTGCAGAAGGATTTTAGCCTGATATAATCCCAGTTGTCTATTTTTGCTTTGGTGGGCTGTGCTTTTGAGGTCTTACACAAGAAATCTTTGCCCAGGCTTGGTGCCTGCAGCTCAGCGGCTAGGGCGCGGGCCACATCCACCAGGGCTGGCGGGCTAGAACCCAGCCTGGGCCTGCCAAACAACAATGACAGCTACCAAAAAAAAAAAAAAAATAGCCGGGCTTTGTGGTGGGCACCTGTAGTCCCAGCTACTTGGGATGTTGAGGCAAGAGAATCGCTTAAGCCCAAGAGTTTGAGGTTGCTGTGAGCTGTGATATTACAGCACTCTACCGAGGTTGATATAATGAGACTCTGTCTCAAAAAAAAAAAAATGAAAGAAATAAAGAAATCTTTGCCCAGAACAATATGCTGAAGCATTTCCTCAGTGTTTTCTTTAGTAGTTTCATAGTGTCAGATCTTAGATTCAAATCTTCATTCTAATCTGATTTTTGTGGGTGGAGAGAGAGGGGTCTGGTTTCATTCTTCTGCATATAGTTATCCAGTTTTCTCTATACCATTTATTGAAGAGACTATTCTTTCTCTTACAAGAACATTGTAAGTTCTTGACACCTTTGTTGAAGATGAGTTGGTTGTAAATGTGTGGATTTATATCTGGATTCTCTATTCTGTTCCACCGGCCCCTGGGTCTGTTTTTATGCCAGTCACATGCTATTTGGGTGACCATAGCTTGTTAATAAATTTTGAAGTCAGGTGGTGTGTTTTTGCTTAGGTTTGCTTTGGCTACTCAGGATCTTTTGTGATTTCATATAGATTTCAGGAATTTTTTTTCTATTTCTGTGAAAATGTCATTGGTATTTTAATAGGGATTAAACTGAATCTGTAAATTGTTTGGGACAGGATTGTCATTTTAACACTATTAATTCCTTCAACCCATGAGCCTGGAATAACCTTCCATTTTTTGCATCCATCTCTTTGAATGTGTGCTCTTCTTTCTAACTTTTTATTTTGAAATAATTAGATTTATAAGAGGTTGCAAAGAAATGCATGGTGGACCTGTTGGCCTGTGGGCTTTCCTGTGAGGCGACTGGCAGGCTCCATCCTTGGCAGAACACCTGGTGCCCAGAGTTTTAGGCCTGTTTGCAAAAGGAATCCTCTAAGCTCATGCTGGAGGAGGCTCATGCTTGGCTTCCTGTCCCTTGGAGCAGGGTGGCAAAAGGAAGCCAGCATCTGCACAGACTATGGATGCCCGCATGACTCCTATGGTCAGCCCAGCACGCCCCTCCTTCCTGAGTCCCTATATCACAGGGTCTGGTTCACCCTCTTTAGGGAATGGTCTGCATCAGGTGGTAGAGGGGAGGCAAGCGAGTGAGGACTCCAGCAGTTTCTCTTACAAACTCTCAGCACACCTCCCATCTGCAATCCCACCTGCACTGCCTCCCTCAGAAGCATAGAGGCTTCTGTGATACTGTTGGCTTGTGGGCACCCCCATGACTGGCTGGGGTTTTGCTTTCTAGTCTAAGTCAGTTACCATTTGCTGTCAACTTTTGGAATTTTGCTGTTGGGTTCTCTCCACTCTCTCGTCCTAATGCAGTTCCCATTGTCCCTACCAGTCTGTATCTCTGAACCCGGCATTTAAGGCTACTAATGAGCAAACCCCGGCAGGCCTTCCAGCCCTCAGTTCTCCATGGTGTGCATTGCCTCTTGGCAGGCAGGCCTCGCATCTGTGCTTAGGGCTACTTTAGGGCTCTCCAAGAACACTCACCTCCTCCTCCCCATAATTTCTTACCTCTGTTAGGAGCTTGACAGCATCCAAGCATGAGACCTTACTTAAGTATCTCAGGGATTACCTGCACCAGCCCTAGGATATAATGAACCTCTGAGAAGGTTAACAACTTGTGCAAGGACACACAGTTAGGTGGTAATGTCGCTTGGTCTGGGTCTTGCCATCAGGTGGCACTGTTTGTTGACTAACTGATTGGCAGGGATTTGTAGCTGATATTAATTGAGTGTTCTAAGCGCCATTTATTGCTGGAACCTGACAATGTGGTGAACTAGCCTACGGGCAGGAGGAGGACAAAGGCAGAAGGCAGTCTCCCTCATGGCCTCCCTCTGCCTTCAGTGAAGTTCCCTTGTGGGAGACCATGGAGACGAGTGGATAGGAAGCGCAAGTACTCTAAACGTGACACAGACCAAGCGGACCCAGTAGATCCAGGCCAAGCAGACCAAGAAGACCAGGTAGACCAAGTGGACCCACGGATCATCGATGGGAAGGTGACCACACGGGGAGAGAACCCATGGCAGGTGAGGGCAGGGGCAGCAGCTGGCTGCTTTTCTCATTTGTGGGGATGGGTCACCGAGCCCCTGCTGGGAGTTATGCTCAGGATGCAGGAAGAAGCAGGGAACATGCTCCCCCTGGTGGGAGCTGTGACAAAGATGCGAGTGTTTAGGGAAAGATGGGGTACCCTGATGGGAGAGGAGCAGCAGGCAGGGCAGGGGGGGTATGGGGCCTTGGATGGGGAGGACAGGAGGGAGAATTGGAGTGCACAATGTTCTGCTGATGGGAGGGGTTTGTGCAGATGGGGCTGGGAGGAAGGGCTGGCCCTGTGTGCCTTTGACTTCAACATGGGAACTAACACTTAACTTGGGTCCTCTCTCTGCCGGTCACTGGGGTCTGGGGTGGGAATAGAAATTAACAAGTGTGGGCAGTGCCTATGGCTCAAAGGAGTAGGCGCCAGCCCCATATGCTGGAGATGGCGGGTTCAAACCCAGCCCTAGCTAAAAAAAAAAAAAAAAACTTGCAAAATTAATTAAATTAATTTTTTCTTTTAAAAAAAAAAATTAACAAGTGAGAGTACTGGCCTTAGAGAGCTCGCAGTCTGGGAAGGTCAGAACCCTAATCACAGGCCAACCCAATGGGACTGGAGCCAAGATGGCCATCATCAGGGCAGGGGCTGAGAGAGGCCAAAGGGGAGCTGCCAGAGCAGCCAGGACACCACAGAGGCTTCCCAGAGACTGCAAGTCCTGGCCTAAGCCCCCAAAGATAAGAGGAACTCATGGGGTAACATTGGGTAAGGCTGACTGGAACAGCATGGAACAAAGGCATATCATGGGCAAAGTCAGGAAGACACACTGGGACAGGCCGACACCATAAAATGTGCAGAAACAGAAAGTGCCAGAAAAGGGCCTTGTGACCAGGGAAGGCAGGAAAGTGCTTGAGAACCATGCCAGGGCCTTGTGAGACCAAGGGCCCTGAACTCAGACCTGTCAGAGGGCAGCTGTGATGTCACTGTCCCATCCCCATTCCAGGTGATCCTGCTGGACTCCAAGAAAAGGCTGGCCTGTGGGGCAGTGCTTATCCACCCCTCCTGGGTGCTGACAGCGGCCCACTGTATGGAGGTCTCCCAGAAGCTCATTGTCAGGCTTGGTATGGGTTGGAGCTGGGCAGAAGTGTCTGCCAGAAACCCTGGGGTGGGACTAGGCAAATTTTCCAGGTTTGGGGGACCCTGGTCCCCAGTATGCTTGAGCAAGAGATAGTTTGATCTCTACAGAGGATGTTCTGGGGGAAAAGAGTTATGTGTGCCTGCCCCCCCCCCCATGACATGTGGTATTTTGCATGATTTCTGGTGCCCTCTTCAAATCTGGACAAAAGTCCTTGCACACATGTTTGTAAGTGAGGGGTTACATGCCCTCTCTTCTTCATTCCTACTCAGCAGAGCAGGCTCTGTGTGGGCCTCAGCACCCTTGGGTGCAGAAACCCACAAGGGCTGACCTCAGGGCTGAGCTTCACAGGTTGACAGGGACAGAGCTAGGCAGTGGGGGCCTGGCATCTTACAAAGCAGAGAGCTGCTTTTCTAGTGGTCTGGGAATCCCCTAGCTCAGGCCCCAATCTATGGCAGTTTCTAGAGAGGGCTCTCACTCGTCTCTTTATGCAAAAAGGAAGGAAAATGGATATTGCCTACAATTGCCTTCAGCATGATGAATGGCCCCTAGTGGTACTTGGCTTAGGATTTCCAGGCCCTCCTCCCTAGGAACTACCAGCCTAGCCTGAGAGGACCTTGTCTCTTGTGTGTGATCCAGAACTTTCTTGCCTGTGTTCTGTCAGTCCCCCTCTCTGAGTCTTGCTGCTCCTGCCTTTGTCTCTCCAGCTACAGTTGCTTCATGTTCCTTTGTGGCTTTGTCCACGTCTCCAGCTTCCCTGTGGTGTGTTACTTCCCTGGTCTCTCTCACTGCTCTGAATCCTGAATGCAGACCCATCCTGCCCCTTTGGTCTTGACTCCTGGGGCCACTCCTTCTGGAAGAAGTCACCCTAGATAGGGATCCACAGCATAGACAGATGGCCCTATGACAGTGCCAGGGACGTGGAGGGAACTCTCTCCAGCTGTGGACCTCCCCCTCGGGTGCTCCCCCAGGCCTGCAGGAGCACAGCTGTGTGTCAGCCTCAGGAAAGTGCCGTGGGGCAAAGGCTCCCCCAGCCCAGTCTGACAGTGAGCTCTGCCCTGCAGGGGAGTATGACCTGCGGCTCCGGGATAAGTGGGAAGTGGACCTGGGCATCGAGGAGATCCTCATGCACCCCAACTACAGCAAGAGCACCACTGACAATGACATTGCACTGCTGCACCTGGCCACGCCTGCCATCCTCTCACCAAATGTCATGCCCATCTGCCTCCCAGACAGTGGCCTTGCTGAGCGTGAGCTCACTCAGGCTGGCCAGGAGATGGTGGTTTCAGGCTGGGGCTATCACAGTAGCCGAGAGAAAGAGATCAAGAGAAACCGCACCTTTGTCCTCAGCTCCATCAGGATTCCTCTGGTCTCACGAAACGAGTGCATGCAGGTCATGAGCAACAGGATCTCTGAGAACATGCTGTGCGCGGGCATCCTCGGGGACCGGAGGGATGCCTGCGAGGGGGACAGTGGGGGGCCCATGGTCACCTCCTTCCGAGGCACCTGGTTCTTGGTGGGCCTGGTGAGCTGGGGTGAGGGCTGTGGCCTCCTTCACAACTACGGTGTTTACACCAAAGTCAGCCGCTATCTGGACTGGATCAACAGCCACATCAGGGGCAAGGAGGCCTCCCTCAAGGGCCAGGTACCTTAGCAGCCCTCCCTGCCGGGCTGGGCTGTTGAATTGGCGATGTGTGGAACATTAAAGGGGCACGCAAGAACCACTCGGCCTGCTGTCTGTCTGTCCTCCCCTCCATTCTTTAGGCTGTTCCAGGAGGAAGTAACGTTCATTGAACATCTACTATATGTCACATGCTTTATGAACAGAATCTTATTTAACTCTCAGGTCAACCCTGTGGGGTAAGGAGCAGCAGATCCAAGTTTTTGTGGGCTCTCTGTGGGTGCTTTGTTTATCAAAGAGAATAAAAAATGTGATGACAAAACTGCCAGAGACTTTCTCAGGCCCTTGGAGAGAGCTTGTGCCAACCAGGGATCCTAAAGCTGCAGCTTGGCTGGCTGTACAGTAAACCCAGCTATGGAAGTGATGTTTACAGCCCCTATCACAGAGGAGGAAACTGAGGAAGGTTTACCTGGTACAGCTAGGGTTCAGATCTAGGTTGGACTCCAAAACCCACGTGTTTTTCTCTGTTCTCCATTGTTCTTGGAGGGCAGCTCTTCTGACACCTACTGCGTGTGGGGCCATCACTAGCCCCATGATGGAAGTAGGCAGAGACCCATAAGGGGCGAGTTTAGCCCAGAATGAGCTTACCATGTATCTGAGAAATCTCCTTTAAGACTAATGTTATGGGCTCGGCGCCTATAGCTCAACGGGCTAAGGCGCCAGCCACGTACACCTAAGGTGGCGGGTTCGAATCCCCAGCCCGGACCCGCCAAAACAACAATGACGGCTGCAACCAAAAAATAGCCGGGCGTTGTGGCGGGCGCCTGTGGTCCCAGCTACTTGGGAGGCGGAGGCAGGAGACTCGCTTGAGCCCAGGAGTTGGAGGTTGCTGTGAGCTGTAATGCCACGGCACTCTACCCAGGGGGACAGCTTGAGGCTCTGTCTCAAAAAAAAAAAAAAAAAAAAAAGACTAATGTTATGCAGTTGTAGACAGCCGTAAATGAGAAGCCCTGTCTTAATCTGGCCTTACAAGCAGAATTGGACGAGACAGAAGCAAGTTAGAATGACTGATCTGAAATCATTAAGTACCTGGTAAAAAGGAACGGGAGGGAGACAAAGCTGAGAAAATTAGTCTAAAGTCCTAAAATTAGTCTAGCTCTCTATGTGGCCTCGGGCAGGTCATTTTTCTTCTCTAGGTGTGATGGTTAATTTTAGGTGTCAGTTTGACTGGATTATGGGATGCCCAGATAGCTGGTAAAGCATTATTGTAGGGTGTGTCTGTGAAGGTGTTTTCAGAGGAAACTGGTGTGTGAGTTGGTGGGGAAGTGGGAAGATCTGCCCTCAGCGTGAGCAGGTACCATGCCAAATGGAGCAAAAAGACAGAGGACAGTGAACTCACTCGGTCCTGAAGCTGGGACGCCCTGTTCTCCTGCCCTTAGACATCAGATCTGCAGAGATAGATGATAGATATAGAGGCAGATAGAGATAGCTAGATAGATAGACAGACAGAGATAGCAATAGACAGAGACAGACAGACAGCATAGACTCTGGGACTTGTACCAGCAGCCCTCCCGTCTAGGTTCCCAGGCCTTTGGCCTCAGGGTGATAGTTACACCCTCAGCTTTCCTGGTTCTGAGGCCTTTGACCAGCTTTGCTGTTCTCCAGCTGGCAGATGGCCTGTCATGGGAATTCTCAGCTTCTATAATCACGTGAGCCAACTCCTCTAATGAATCCCTTCTCATCTATCTCTATCTCTCTATCTCTCACTATCAATCTATATCTATCATCTGTCTCTCTATCATCTTATCTATCTCTGTCTCTATCTCTATCATCTATTTCTAACTATCCCTATCTATCTCCATTGTCCATCTATCTATCTATCATCTCTGTCCCTGCATCTATATCATATTGGTTGTCTCTTTGGAGAATCCTACTACACTGAGCATCAATAAAATGGAGGGATTGGATGACAGTGGTGGTTCTCAACCCCAATTGCACATTTGAATCTCCTAGAGAACTTTCAAAAACACCTTTGTCTAGTCTCAGCCTCAGGGATTCTAATTAATTTGGGCAGCGAAGGTTAGACCCAGACACTGATATTTCAACAACACCCCACTTCATTTTAATGTACAACTGAAAGCTACCGGACCATACCAAGGACTTTCCTTTCCTCCCCTTTCCCCTTCCACTTCCTTTCTTCCCTCCCTCCCTAGGCTGGTCTCAAACTCCTGGCCTCAAGTGATATTCCTGCTTTGGCTCCCAATGTGCTGGGATTACAGGCATGTGCCACTCTTCCTCCCCTGGACCAAATGGTCTTTAAGAGCCTTTTCTCCTCGGGCAGGCTCTAATTCTAAGACTCTCCCTATTGGTAAGGATGAAGGCCAGTCACCTCAGAAAGCACAGCACAAACTTAATCAGTAGTCAAGGAAGATTTGATCTGTGATTATATTCAGCTTCTCAGGTCACAACTGCTGCTTACCAAAGAGGACACCAGGACCCACTGAGTTAGTTACCTATGCCCAGCCACAAGAGAAGAGGCCTGTCAGAGATGGAGCCAGCAGGATCCACCTCCTTACCTGGGAAAGGGAGACATGGAACTTCTTGAAAGTGGAAGTAAGCCAGGCCCAGGGCTGGAACCACCTGCCCCATAGTGAGAGGTCCACTGTCTACCGCACTTACAGTGGGAGGTGATAGACTGAGAGAACGGCAGAGTGCTAAGGTCTCCACCTCTGGCAGGGATTCCCTGAGTGGGCTGCCTGTCAAGACAGTCACACTGGGCTTGGCGCTGTGGTTCAAGCAGCTAAGGCGCCAGCCACATACACCTAAGGTGGTGGGTTTGAATCCCCAGCCCGGGCCCGCCAAACAACAATGACGGCTGCAACTAAAAAATGGCCGGGTGTTGTGGCGGCGCCTGTGGTCCCAGCTAC